GTGATATCTTTCTGATCTTGGTCTTTTCTTTTTGTGTCTGTGATTCAGAATTGTTGTTCTTCTTTTCTCATATAATTCTGAAGGGTTTATGATTTTAGGAAAGTGATGAACAAAACTTAGAGTTTTGGGGCTTTGTACGAATGGTAGTTTCCTCTTTGTTTTTGTGTGAATAATTGTTTAATGTTGGGAGGGAAAAACCATTTGGAATAGAGGAAAAACTTTGACCGGATCAAAGCTGTTTTTTGCTTTTTGGTGCATGTTTTTATTTGGCAATTTTGTACAAGGGTTAGAGCAGTTTGCATCAGGTTTTTCTATGGCAGGGCAGCAATGTGTTTATAGCAGGGCTGGATTTTGACATTGTTTTATTGGTTTTACCTTTTCACTGAGTTATAGTAAATTGTTTTTTTTAGTCCCCTATTTATGAACCAAAAGGGCTTTTGTGATTTGCTATAGAGGCGTAGGCCTATGACTTGAAATACATTTATGAATTTTGTTTTGAAACATATTTAATATGAGGCTTTGGATTAGATTTATCGCATGATTGAGAACACCCTTTGTTTCTGATTCCTTCATAAACCCTAATGATGAGATTAGACGAGAATTATGCTTGAGAACTTCTTGTTCAAATTTCATTGTTTTGATAATGATTGTTCTAACCAATTATTTGTTTGTTTTCATGTGAGCTTTATGGAAGGTGAAAAAGGAAAGGCAAGGTTGAAGAAGGAATCGTGGCTAGCATGAAGCTTGGAAGGGAGTTTGAATAAGATGAAGATCTTATTGATGTTTTTGCCCATACAAACTCATAAAATAAGCTTAGGATTTAAACTCTTTCCTTGTTGTCTTTTTGTCTTGTAAAGAAAATTTGAGTGCACTTGTAAATGATGAATGATGACACATTAAATGTATTTACAAACTTTCTTGAACCTTGGTGAATGGTGCCTTGCTTTGAATGAACCTTGATGGAATTTGTATGTTTTCTAAATGGAACTTGAATATATTGAAAGCTCGGATGAATTTATGGCTTATGAATATGTCTTGAATAGTTTTGACAACTTTGAAACATCGTGCCTTAAAATGGGATTTGATGAATACTTGGATGAGCATTGAATGATGGACAATGACGAATTAAATAGACTTAGTGAAACTTGAATAAGTCTTGTAATTTTGTGGTATTTGAATGACGAATGACCTCTGTAACTTGCATGCTAAGTAAGCCATATGCATTATCTCCTAACTTGAATCAAATTCTCAATGAAAACCTTAATTTCCATGTTCAAACCGCAAGTGACTTGTAACTGAAGTAACAATGAATAACCATGCCTTGATCACCCTATGAGTTCACAACAATAATCTCTAAAGGCTTTGCAATTTAATTCGTGAACCCTTGACTTGATGACTAACGATTATAATTTAAACACAATGCCCATGGGAATAACCTCGAGTGAAAAAGAAGCTTGAAATAACAAAGGTATCCTTGAGATAAAAACCCTAATCTATTAACCTTGGGTATGGAAATAAACCCTAATCCTTGGCCTCTGAATTTGAATGAGAAACTGCCTCTGTAGCCTTTATCTGATGAAGAAAACTCAAACCAAAGTGAAGCACTAATTAGCACAACCACTGATACTGAACCACTGCCTTATTGGATGAAGAAATGATGTGTGATTGACCTAATGTAAATGATGCAAATGATATGTAAAGCCTAAGCCAGATAAAAGTGAAAAAGATAGGACAAATTTGGGGTATAACATGCATCATGTGTGCTTTGACTAATTCATATAACCTTGGATGTAGGGTAGGGTCTGGAATTTCAGCTGAGATGATGTTATCTATGTCACATGTTGTTGGATATTTACTTTGCAGATGTAAGAAAATCATAATGTGGGCATGTGGCAAACCTCGTTTTTGGAATTCGATTGTATAAATGACTGTAAATTGTAGTTAAAAAAAGTAATATGAAGTCAAGGTTGTATACAAAAATAAAAGAACTGAAATGGGAAAAAGAAAAATTGTCCAAGAATTAACAAACTTACATGCCAGAACTTTTCCAAGAACATGTGTTTTTGTTAAATCATTCATGAGCTCGTCAAACTTCAGTTTGAAGACCTTAGATATGATATCAGGGTGATCACGAGGCTTTAAAATTTTCTTGGACAGTAGGCGGGTTATCTCAAGCCAGTTAGGATTACATGTAAATGTTTTAAATAAATCAGGAAACCCAATTGCACTTGAAATAGCCATCCCGTCAAAATACAGTTGGTCCATGTATCTCTTGCTACTTTAACATTGTTGATTGAGCTTATGGTATTTCCCAACTCTTAGTTTAGATTGATTACTGCGCAATTAATTTAGACGTTCCATCTCCATCATTGTGTAGCCATCAACCAAGAACGGTTGAAGGAGTCTTCTGGAGTTCACCATATGGAAAAATTAAAGGGTATTGATAGGAAAGGTAACTTGGATGGAATTCATCAATTCTCTGCAATTGACTATCATTGTGATAAAGAATGATGTCTCTTTTTGATGGAGTATTTATGCCCCTAACAATCAGTGAAACTACTTCATATACAGTTGGGTGGTTATAAACACATCCATTTGTGGATCTTTCTGATATTTCCCAACTCTTAGTTTAGATTGATTACTGCACAATTAATTTAGACGTTCCATCTCCATCATTGTGTAGCCATCAACCAAGAACGGTTGAAGGAGTCTTATGGAGTTCACCATATGGAAAAATTAAAGGGTATTGATAGGAAAGGTAACTTGGATGGAATTCATCAATTCTCTGCAATTGACTATCATTGTGATAAAGAATGATGTCTCTTTTTGATGGAGTATCTATGCCCCCAACAATCAGTGAAACTACTTCATATACAGTTGGGTGGTTATAAACACATCCATCTGTGGATCTTTCTGATATAAGTTTCACTTCAAATCTTGGTAGCTATTATTTTTCAACATAATATATTTTTTAACATAAGCTTCAAATCTAGCAATTTATATCTAGCAGGATTTGAACCTGAGACCTTGAGAGGAGCACACTCTCAAGACCCTGAGCCTTCACCACTAAACCACATACACACACGTAAAAAATGATAGTGATGTTCACATGAGAGAGATGAGAGAAAGAATATATTTTTTCATTTATTTTATTTTATTTTTTGTGCTCTTTTTTGTCATGTTAATCAATGTTTTTTTTTGGTTTTAATTTGAATTAAAATATGACATGAGTCTTTGAATTTAAAAATGAAAGAATGCAATTATTATTATTATTATTTGAGTGAAGATCTATTTTGGTCCCTCACAAAAATTAAAGAAACCAAATTAGTCCTCCATACAATAAAGGACTCGATTTAGTCCCTTATAAAATTTAATCATATCGCATTAGTCCTACTGTTAATATTTTTTTATCAAATCGGTTTTTTTTCTACTTTTAAATCGCGACAGGATTGCCATGTTAGATTTTATTTTTATTTTTCATTTTTTAAATTCTAAATTAATTTTTATTATTAATTTCATTTTTAAACAATTCTGAATTAATAATATTTAAAAAGCCAAAATTGCTTTTTATAAGGAATCAAACCCAAATTCTTTTAAAGTAATATTATGTCTTTACCACTAGGCTAATGCACATTTATAATAAATAATTCTCATGATTTATAACAGTATTAAATAATTTTGAATTTAAAACAAAAACAATTTTTTGTTTTGTATATATGGAGTCATGAACCCATCTCCTTTCAAGTTAAATGATAATCACTTCACAACTAAACAAATTCTTGTTAATATTTTTAATGATAAATATTTAACTTAATAATTCAGAATAAATATTTATCTATTTATTTATTTCAAATAACACACAAATATATATTTTCTTATTTCAAATAAATGTTCTTGTTAATACTAATTAATTTTTTCCTATTTGATTAATTATATTCAGGGTTTACATTTTCTTAATTTTATTTTTAAATTTGTGTATTATTAAAATTAGTAAATATTTATTTGTGTGTTATTTGAAATAAGTAAATATTTGTTCTAAATTATTAAGTTAAATTTTCATCATTAGAAATATTAATAATAGAAATTGATTTGTCTAGTTGTAAAGTGATTATCATTTTATTTGAAGGGAATTGGGTTTAAGACCCTATAGGTAATTTTGTATTTTTTGTTTGAGATTCAAAATTATTTAATATTACTAGAAATCATGTGATTTATTTATCATGATTGTACATTGGTTAAGTGGTAAAAATATAAGAAGTGACCTAAAGATTTTTGGTTTGATTGTTTATAAGAAACAATTTAAGTTTTTTTTTATATTATTAATTCATAGTTGTTTAAAAATGAAATTAAAAATAAAAATCTATTTGGTATTTATATAATTAAAATACTACATAGCAGCCCAATCACGATTTAAAAAAAAAAAATTTGATTTAGAAAAAAACATTGACAAAATAATTGATATGGTCCAGTTAAATTTTGTAAAAGACTAAATCAAATCTTATTTTTTGTGAGGGATTATTTGAGTTGTGTAATTTTTGTTATTATTGATATACTTTTTTTATTGTGATCTAAAGAAATAACACGAATGAAGATTCGCAAGCCTAATACTATAACAACTAAAAAGAGAGCACATAATTTAATATAAAAATATGAAAATAAAAAATATGTTAATTTCTTTTATGTGTGATGACCTTCGATCCTAAACACGGTCGCGTGACCATACCAAATACGACGCGTATCGATTTTGCACCAAATTAATATTCACAGTGACTCAGTTTGATTATTATTCAAAATTAGACCTACTCAAAAAATTGAATTAAAACTAAGCACCATGCAATTAAAATAAAAATTACTTCGAACAAAATTAGGGTGTTACAATCGACTCAACTTAATTAATTTTAACTTAGAGAATGTGAATGACGAAAATATTCATATAATTTTTATGAAAGATAATTAAGTATGGAGGATTTGAATTTTGTCCTTCGATGAGCAGACAATAATTAAAATGTCAGGAATCTTGAAAGATCTCCTTGATTTATGGAATATGAAAGATCGTCTCTAATACGAGGATTTGTGCTTTGATCGACAACAAGATCATCTCCAGCACAAGGGTTGATACCTAGATCGACAACAAGATCATCTCCAACACGAGGGTTAGTGCCTAGGTCAACAACAAGATAATCTCCTACACGAGATTTAGTACCTAGATCGACAATAAGATCAACTCTCACATGAGGGTTGGTGCCTAGATTGACAACAAGGTCATCGCCAACACAGGCGTTGGTGCCAAGATCGACAACAAGATCATCTCCAACACGAGAGTTGGAGCCTAGATCGAAAACAATATCCTCTCCAAAGAGAGGGTTGGTGCCGAGATACACAACAAGATCATCTCTAACATGATATTTGGTGAATAGATTGAAAAAAAAGATCATATTTGACAAAAGGGTTGGTACCTAGATCTACCACAACATCATCTCTAACACGAGAGTTAGTTCCTAGATCAAACACAAGATCATCTCCAACACGAGAGTTGATGCCTAGATCAACAACAAGATCATCTCCAACATGAGAGTTTGTGCCTAGATCAACAATAAAATCATCTCTAACACGAGAGTTGGTGCCTAAATTGGTAATAGGATCATCTCCAACACGAGGGTTGGTGCCTAGATCGACAACAAGGTCATCTCCAACAAGAGAGTTGGTACCACAATCGACAATATGATAATCTCCAACATGATAGTTGGTGCCTAGATTGACAACAAGATCCTCTCCAACATAACGATTGTTAGAACATAGTTTGGTTCTACATCTAAGTATTAGTTTTGATGATAACAAACACATAATTATTGTGAAGAACAATTATGCCCTCTAATCATTTGATTGAATTTATAGAGAAGTTCTGATGAAAGCAAGAAAGTTAATGACGTGAAAAATCACATATGAAATTCTGAAGAAGAAGAACATATAAGTAGCTTTGAAGCAAAGCTAAAATAACATGCAAGAAAGAGAAGTTATGATGCTGAAAATCAAACTTCTGAAGCACCAAGCTGTTGGGCAAACTGATATATAAAGCTTTGAAAGAACAAAGAAGTATTTAACGTATCTATCATATTCAATGTTCTGTTTACAAGAAATCAAGCTCCAGATACTCTGAGACGCCGTAGATCCGACATCACAAATCAAATCACAAATCAATAACCTTCCAAAATCAGAAGATTATGTCTCCAACGGTTTCATGATAGCTGCCTATATAAAGAGGTCTATGAAAGGTGAAAAACAACACTCACGCATATCAACAAGAGCGATCAAAAACAGTCTCATATTTCCTATCTCTTCAATTATTCCTTGTGCTAAATTTGTGTAAACATAATAGTTGTGATAAAGCTTGTTAGAATCAAACTCAAACACATTGTATAATTATTTTTAGTTGTATATCTTTGAGAAACCAAGTTGTGGTTTGATCTCAAGAAGACGTTAACAATTGTCTTCGTGAAATTGTAATCATTTGTGATTAGTGGATTAAGACCTCGACTGAGAGAGGTGAAATCACCATGGTGAGTGGAATGGAATAGTTTTGAGTTCAAAACAAACCAGGAAAACCAACGTGTTTTATAGCCTTAATTTTTGAAAACCCCAATTCAAACCCCCTTTCTTGTATTTTTCTATCCTTCAATTGGAATCAGAGCGCCTGGTTTTGGATGCTAACACTTAACTGTGTCAGAAAAAGATCCTAAGAAACAAAAACACTATGGTGGAACCAAATTAAAACAACAACAATGACAACCATGATTAGAAGGACAAAATCAGCGGCAGGCCGCCAATCTTTGATGGATAAATTTTTTATTACTGGAAAGACAGAATCGAGAGTTTCTTTCAAGCTCATGACACTGATCTCTGAGACATGGTAACTAATGGCTAAATTCATGTAGTCGATGCAAGCGGTCAAAAGATCGATAGAAAGAAGATGACAGATGAACATAAGAAAGAATTCAGAAACCATCACAAAGCCAGAACAATCCTTTTAAATTCCATCTCATATACTGAGTATGAGAAAGTCACAACAGAGAAACGGCTTAGAACATGTTTGAATCTCTAAAAAGGAATAAATAAATTAAAACAAAAAAAAAGTAGCATGGGCCTGGTATTAGAAGCAGAAATGGGGGTATAATTTGAATTTTCCAAGCCCAATCCACAAAATCCAAGACGCTCAAAAAAACCCCCCTTAAAGAGATGCCCTGAGTCTGAATCTGGCATTAGTTTTTGCTAAAGGTCTCTAAATTTTACGTTTTGAAGCCAAGCTTTTGATCGGGATTGAGAATGGCATCTCATGAACCAGGACTCAAAACTTACATTCTTCACGAAGCAAGGTGAGAGTGAACTTGGCGGTCCTTGAGTAAGTCATAAACATATTTGAATCCCACAAAATAGGTCTATGAACTTAAAAATGCATTTTTGCTCAAAGTTGACTTTTTGCATTTTCACCAATTTGCCCAATTTGTGTTGGTCATAACTTGCCCAAATTTTATCTTTTAGAGATGATCTAGGACTTTTAAGAAATATCAAGATGTCCTCTACAATCTCTATGTTGACCATTTTCGCATTTGGAGAATTCATCTTAATGTAACTTGCCTTGACAAAAAATGCCTTTTTATTGACTTTTAAAAAGACTTGTAATGTATTGGCTCATATCTTTCTATTGATGCATTTTTTGAAGTTGAGGACAAAAGAAAAGTTGTATGGAATTGAATTTTCTTCACAGTGAGCTTTGGTTGGGAAAAATGGATGAAGCATGTGAAAGTTATGCCTGGTCAAAGTTCAGTTGACTTCTCCTAAGGAAACCCTAATATGACAAATCTTGACTTCTAATGATTTGAGGACTTTCCTTGGGGAATCATGATTAAACCTTGATAAAATGATGAATATCACTTCAAAATGTTGATGTTTACAAAAAATATTGAAGTTTAACTATATGTTGACCATAATTGACTTTTTGATCAATACATTTGATTTTCAAGCATCTGAGCCATTGACTGAGCAAACTTGTGATGTAGGGATTGAAACTTGACATGAGCCTTGTTGAAGACCAATGAAGAAACATGGGAGCCACTTGATACTTTTTTAGACCAAATTTCCTTGAGAAACTCCAAACCCTAGTTGTAGGCTTTTGGTCTAGGAGGTGCATCTTGACTAGTCAGCCGTTGGGTGCCTTGACCATTTGAAGAGCCTTGAAAGAATGCTTTAAAGAAAAATGGGAGGGAAAATTTTGGGGTACAACAACTGCCCATGTTCAATCTTCTTAAACCTGAAGAGTTAGATTGACATGTCTGCCATTCGTGACTTGAAGGTAGAAGATAATTGAACACTTAAGTGCCCAGAAATTGTCACTCGTCTGTGCAAGATGCTAACATTATTGGATGATTGTATCGGGAATGGTATTATAAGATGCCATTCGGAGAGATGACTGAGAGTCATTGGATATGGGCTTATAGATTCCATCCAAAGTAAATGTTGACTTTAAACTGGAAGAAGTATCAGAATAAACCTACGGTTGGTTTAATCTGAGCCAGAAAACGTTCCTTTTGTCTTTAACTGGATGAAGCATCAGAATAAATCATTGGTCGGTTTAATTTGATCTAGAAAAAGGTCTAATGGAAGAAGTATCAGAATAAATCATTGGCCGATTTAATCTGATCCTGAAAAAGGTCTAATGGAAAAAGTATCAGAATAAATCTTTGGGTCAATTTAATCTGAGCCAGCCACTATCTATGCTTATTTTTATCTAGAAGAAGTATCAGAATAAATTTGTGGTTGATTTAATCTAAGCCAAAAAATTTCTTCAACTGGGAGAAGTATCAAAATAGATCTACACCTGATCTAAGCTGAGCTAGAAGAATGTCTACTGGAAGAAGTATCAGAATGAACCTTTGGTTGATTTATTTCGAGCCAGCGACTATCTACAACCGTATTCAACTGGAAGAAGTATCAGAATAAATCTTTGGTTGATTTAATCTGAGCCAGAAGAATGTCTACTGTAAGAAGTATCAGAATGAATCTTTGGTTGATTAATTTCGAGAAAGCGACTATCTACGACCGTCTTCAACTGGAAGAAGTATCAGAATAAATCTTTGGTTGATTTAATTTGATCCAGAATAGGTCTTTGTTGTCTTTAACCGGAAGAAGTATAAGAATAAACCTATAGTTGGTTTAATCAGAGCAAGAAAAAGGTCTATTGGAAGAAGTATCAGAATAAATCATTGGTCAATTTAATCTGATCCAGAAGATATTTATACTTATTTTATCTGGAAGAAGTATCAGAATAAATCATTAGTCGATTGAATTTGAGCCAGAAAAAGGTCTACTGGAAGAAGTATCAGAATAAAACATTAGTCAATTTAATCTGAGCCAGAAGATATTTATGTTCATTTTATCTGGAAGAAGTATCCGAATAAATCATTAACCGTTTTAATCTTAGCCAGAAAAAGGTATGCTGGAAGCAATATCAGAATAAACCATTAGTTGATTTAATCTGAGCCAGCAACTATCTACGACCGTCTTCAACTGGAAGAAGTATCAGAATAAATCTTTGGTTGGTTTAATCTGAGCCAGAAGAGGTCTCTGTGTCTTTAACCGGAATAAGTATCAGAATAAATCATTGGTTGATTTAATCTGAGCCAGAAAAAGGTCTACTGAAAGAAGTATCTGAATAAATCTTTGGTCGATTTAATCTGATCCAACAAATATTTATGCTTGTTTTTATCTGGAAGAAGTATCAGAATAAATTTTTCATTGATTTAATCTGAGCCAGAAAATGTCTTTAACTGGAAGAAGTATCAGAATAGATCTACACCTGATCTAAGCTGAACCAGAAGAATGTCCACTGGAAGAAGTATTATAATAAATCATTGGTCGATTTAATCCGAGCCAGCGACTATATACGACAGTCTTCAACTGGAAGAAGCATCAGAATAAATCTTTGGTTAATTTAATCTGAGCTAGAAGAGGTCTTTGTGTCTTTAACTATAAGAAGTATCAGAATAATTCATTGGTTGATTTATTCTGAGCCAGAAAAAGGTCTACTCGAAGAAGTAGAAGAGTAAATCTTGGTCAATTTAATCTGAGCCAATAGATATTTATGCTTGTTTTTATGTGGAAGAAGTATCAGAATAAATCTTTGGTTAATTTAATCTGAGCCAGAAAATGTCTTCAACTGGATGAAGTATCAGAATAGATCTACACCTGATCTAAGCTGAGCCAGAAGAATGTCCACTGGAAGGAGTATTAGAATAAATCATTGGTCAATTTAATCCGAGCCAGCGACTATCTACGACCGTCTTCAACTGAAAAGTATCATAATAAATCTTTGGTTAATTTAATATGAGCCAAGAGAGGTCTCTGTGTATTTAACTGGAAGAAGTATCAGAATAAATCATTGGTCGATTTAATCTGAGCCAGAAAAAGGTATACTAGAAGAAGTATCAAAGTAAATCGTGGTCAATTTAAACTGAGCCACTAGATATTTATGCTTGTTTTTATCTGGAAGAAGTATCCGATTAAATATTTGGTTGATTTAATCTGAGCCAGAAAATGTCTTCAACTGGAAAAAGTATCAGAATAGATCTACACCTGATCTAAACTGATCCAGAAGAATGTCCACTAGAAGGAGTATCAGAATAAATCATTGGTCGATTTAATTCTAGCCAGCTATTATCTACGACCGTCTTCAACTGGAAAAGTATCAAAATAAATCATTGGTTAATTTAATCTGAGACAGAAGATGTTTGTGTCTTTAATTGGAAGAAGTATCAGAATAAATCTTGGTCAATTTAATCTGAGCCAGGAAA